TACTTCCTGAGCAATGACGATGCTCCCTGTGCCAGCTGAGCGAAGGGGACTCAGGAGCCTGACAGGCTTGGAGGCAGAGGCAGCTCAGCCCACGGCCAGCACCGCGCCTCGGGTCAGGACTGGCACTGCACTGCACAGGGGTCTTCTTGCCTCCTTGCCCCACCCTCCGTAGTAAGGGAGGGCCACCTTCTCACATTCTGCTCCAAACAGGAGCTGACAGGTAACAAGGGAACTCCTTTCTTTTCTTTCCCCTTCACCCTCCATCCTCCCCCTTTCTCTCCGCACTTCCTTCTTAAGCCATCAGAGTTGACACCCAGATCCCCCTTTAAGACAGAAGGACTTGTTCCCTTGCTGGCTGGGGAGACTGACACAAACAGTCCTCCACCCCCAGCTTCTTCTGGAATTACCTCCTCTTAAGGGAGCCCCTTGCCCAAGGTCGCAACCCCTTCGAGAAGCAGCCCTCAGCCATGATCAACACGGAGTATCGTCCTGGCCCCCTTTTCCCAAGGGGTCATCTCAGCTTTGGAACCCCACAGTGGGCTTAGCTGAGACTTTTATTGAGACTACATCATAACTCAGCTTCTAATTCAGCCCAAACCTCTCATCTTCACCCCTGAGCGTGATGTTCCCTCCTAAGTCACACCCCAATAAACTTCCTGCACACTAGTCTCCATCTCAGCACCTGTGTCCTGGGGAGCCCCACCTGCGACAGCCTGAGGAGGTGGGATGCAGACGACACAATTTGATGGACAGAAGAAATGCACATTCGATAGGTTGATAGCAATACCAGATGATTACTAATGAAGAGTCATAAGTTACCATTCAGAAACCACATGCAACAGTCATAGGAAAACATCAAGGGGGCAAGTAGGGAGGGAGACTTCCTGGAAGAGGAGCAGGGACTTGCTGATAGGTGTGATGGGAGAAGGCGGGGAAACAACGCCGGGAGCTCCCGGTAGAAGGAGTTGCTCAAGTGGTTTGAGAATGAACCTCCCTACTTTGTGAAACAGGAGTTTTGTGTGGGCAACGCAGACACTGTTGGAGGGTGGGAGGGAGCTATGGCTATGGTGTGGATCCGCTGGGTTGTGGTTGGATATTAGATTTGGGAGAGCTTTGAAGGTCCGCCGAGACATCCAATATCCACAAATGGTGAGGGACAACTGGGCACAGTGGAGCAGAAGAGGGACACTATGAAGTACATGTAAGTATAGGTGACCCTAAGTAATTGTTGGGGCCAGTGGGGTGGAGATTTCATAGTAATACTTGATGCCAATCATTGAAAACCCTACTGATTTTACTTATTTTAACAAAACCCACTAGTTTTCACTTTGCTGTAAAGAACAGTGACCTGCCCTAGCCGGTTTGTATCAGAGGATAGAGCTTTGGCCTGAGGATCAAAGAGCCCCGGGTTTGATTCCAGTCAAGGCCATGTACCTTGGTTGCAGGCTCCTCCCCAGCCCTGCCCTGGTCAGGGCACATGCAGGAGACAACCAATGGATGTGTTTCTCTCACATTGATGTTTCTCTCTGTCTTTCCCTCTCTCTTCCATTCTCCCTAAAAATCAATGGGAAAACATCCTCGGATGAGGATTAACAAACAAACAAAATAACAGTGACCCAAGTTTCCCCACATGTACAGTGGTTTTATGAACTTTGACCAACTGTCCCATTGCACTTGCCCTTTCCCCTCCTGGGCATTGGCACATTATGGCCAGAGCTTGAGAGAAGGTGCCAGGACATGTGCCACCATCCTGCCCCCGCGGGGTATGAGTGTTTGGAAGTATTATCTTACCAGCAGTTTATCCGATGGGTTAGCATTGGGACCAAATTGGAGGAAGGACGCTAGTTGGGTAGCAAGTCCACTGCTGCACATGGGGAGTGAAGGGTGCTCGGACGCAGGTGGGAGCCACGCGTGTAGCACTTCTTTTCATAGCTGGATAACATTCCATTGACACATAGAAACTACATTTGCTTAACCATTTACCTGCCCAGCTGCTCCGCCTCTGCCCAGCTGCTCCACCTTTGCCCAGCTGCTCCCGTCTCTGCCCAGCTCCTCCTGCCTCTGCCCAGCTGCTCCCGCCTCTGCCCAGCTGCTCCCGCCTCTGCCCATGCTGCGCCCGGTGCCTAATCACCTTGTTTCCTCCCTTTTTCACCCAGTTGCTCCAGGTAAGGCATCCTGCAATGCTCAGTGCTGACGTCACACCTCCCCAAAGCGGTCCTCCATCCTTTAGTCCTTGGAGATGGTTATGCTCTCTTTTTAGCGCACTGTTCCCCCTATTTGTTTCATCTCCCTCTCACAGTAAGCTTCTAGAATGCAGTTGGAATCACCCCTGCACCCTGAGCCTCCTGTTCTTTGTTTTGTTGTTAATCCTCACCTGAGGATATTTTCCTATTGCTTTTCAAAGAGACTGGGAGGGAGAGAGGGAGAGAGGGAGGGGGAGAGAGAGAGAGCCCGAAAGAAACATCGATGTGACACATTGACTGGTTGCCTCCCACACGCACCCTGACTGGGAGTGGGGCATGAACCACAACCCAGGGGAATCCAACCCGCCCCCCTTCAGTAGCAGGCCGAGGCTCTAACCACTGCACCACCGCCAGGGCGTGTCCTGCCCTTAGTACATGCTCAGATGGGGTGTTGCTTTCCCTCAATCAGAGCCGCCAGGCAGCCATGCTTACTGCGCACCAGCCTCTGCCCTCGCCCAGCACCCAGCACTGGTTTGGGTCAGGTTCCCAGGGCCTGCACCTGGACACAGCACCCCTCCCGAGGAAGCAGGAGCCGCCAGCTCTAGAGCTGCCCCACCGACGGGACCGTGGTCTCCAGGCCTCCGGCCGCCTCTGAGCGACCACGGACCCTCTGATGCCTTCCCCTCCTCTTCGTAACATCCGGACACGACCGTCCGGCGCGGGCTGAGGGAGGCTCCAAGTTCAAGTGTGGAAAGCAGGGCGCCTGAGCCTGGTCTCCGGGTCAGAAATCCCCGTGGCCTCCCCGGGCCTGCTCTGAGGACCGGCCTGGCAGCCTCGGTCCCCGCTCTCGCCCTCCGCGGTCCTTTCGTCCAGGTGGGCGAGGACCCCTGGAGCCCTCCTCTGCCAGCAAAACACCCATCCACCCCCAGCCCCGGACCCGATGTGCAGGCGCCCCTGGCCGCACGCCCTCTGCTGGGAGGCTCAGGAACCACAGAGACAGACTGCAGACAGGGAAGCCCTGGAAAGAAAGCCCTGGCAAGCGTCCTTTCCTTCTTTCCTGACGCCCGCCCGCTCCCCTGCACTCAGGTAACAGCGTCAGCAGCTGTCATTTCTGAGAGCTGACGTCCCGATTCTGTGCTAAGTGTTCCCAGGCCATCAGTGCATGTCATCCTGCAGATCCCAGTACTTGCTCCCTTTGTACAGATGAGGAAACTGAGGCACAGCGAGGGAAGCAACTGCTCAAAGCCTCACAGTGGCGGAGGCAGGATTCACACCAGCCCCGCCAGGCCTGGACCCGCTGCCCTGGAAGGTCCGGTGACTGCCCGCCCTGCCTCTCCGCGCGGACGCCCCTCTGGAGGCTGAGTGAGGCCCAAGGCCCACGTCTTCCTGCCCCCACCCCTCCAGACCCAGACCGGCTTCTCCTGGAAGGTGGGGCTTGCCTTGGTCTTCCTTGGACACATCCCTGCCCTGCTCCAGATCAACCATTTCCCTGGGACAAAACCAATCACCGAATTCCAATGGGAAGGAGCAGTGTCCTTTCCATCAATCAATCCCCAGGCTTAGCAACAGCCGGACTATTTCTCTGTGCATCTGCATCTATCCCACTTGGAAAACAGCACAATCGTTTCGGCACCTGTGCCTTCCTAGACTGTAACCAGGCTCCTGAGAGGGGCTCAGGAGTGTGTCCCCTGCACCCTTCCCAACAGGCTTTCCCTCAGGGAGACTCAGGGTTACCCGCGCGCCCTGCGTCGTTCCCTCCAGACACCCAGTGACAGTAGCCCCGGGAACTGCATTCACCCACGAGTTAGCTGCCGTAGGGAGGTGCTGCGGGGCTGGAGCACTCTCTGAACCCTGGGTCTGATCGTCAGGATCCTGGGCACCCAGACGGTCAGAACTCCTGTCTGTGCTCCGAAGGCCCACGCTGGCTCAGGACTTGGGGTGGGTCCCTGTCCCTGATACTGCTGGGCAACCAACGTCTCATGCAGGATGTACATAGTAACAGGCAGCGAACAGGTGGGCACCTGGTGCCAGGCCCTGCCCTAAGCACTTTATGTTGGCTCATTCATTGGCACCACCTTGTAAAGCCGGTTTATTGCTGTCTTACTCCTTTAACAGGCCCAGAAAAGGAGGCGGCACAGCTGGAATTTGAATCCAGTCACTCTGGTTCCAGAGTGTTCATTTAAGCACTACATACAGCTCAATAAATAACCCTCTTCTGGGTACCTTGAATTCTGCACTTACAATAACCTGGCCTGTTAAGATGAAAATAAGTTAGACACAGCGATGACTTACTGTTTGCAGCCCGGAGAACCAAAGGTTTCCTTTGCATGTGGTCTGCTGGCTCCCGCCCAAGGCCTCTCAAGCCTGCCTGTCAATAGCCGCACACCTGCCTCAGCACAGGCACCCGAGGCGCCTCCTCCTCGAGCAGGTAAGTCTTGCAGGTGTTGCCCAGACCTCCTGACTCCAGCACTGGCTCCCTCAGCCTGAATCCTGGCCAGCAGGCTCAAGCCTGGGTGCCCCACCTGGACCATCCTGCCAGCAGAACCTCACGCAGGCCTCTCAGGAAGTACCTGACATCAGGTACTTTATTATAGCAGGAACCACCTTCATTACAGTAAGGACTACCTTTCTATGTTCTCTCACACTGAGATAAGGTAACCAGTCTGGGACAAACAGGTATCTAGAACCCAAATCCTGGCAGACCCAGCATGGTTAACAAAGCATCTTAATAAATGAAACACAAAACTGATGCAGTTATTTAATGACCTGGGAAAATAACGTTATAAAATAAGCCGGTCACAAATAGTGGGTAGAGAATTTCACTTTTGATAAAAACATTTAATGTATATAAAACACTGGGAGGATATATAACAAAATATTCAGTCTTTACGTTCAGTGATTAAATATTCTTCCCTTTGCTTTGTATGTGTTTTTGAAACGTGATTATTTCTGAAAAGAAAAACAAGCTACTGGATAGAGAAGCAGCTGTTAAATGTCAGGAGTCCAGCAGTCCAGGCCTGCGCCCGCGAGGCCCGCGACGGGACAGCGGTCAGGCCGGCCGCGGATCCCACTTCTCCCAGTCCCTCTGGGTGCTCTCCGTCCGGCGGCTTCCTCTCCACCTGACGTTCTCAGTGTCCTTGTATTCCACAGGAGTCTACAATATCAACAGGCACAGCAGCAAGCGATGCCAGCAACTTTGGTTGTAAATTGGAATAACCATTGGCAGTTATGGAGCATAGAAATAAAACATCAAACACAGATCAGGAGTCCCACAGCAGAAAACCACATGTGACTAAACTCCTGCCCTCTCTGGCCCCTGCTCATATTTCACGGATCTGGAAAAAGCAATTTTTTTTTCTCCAAAAGATGCTTTACCTGCTCAGGAGTCGAGTTGGAAGAGCTCACTAAACCCCAAACAAGCCCCACCGGAAACACGGCTGAATGGGTGTTGTCACTCTGTCACCATTTGTTTTCAAAGGTCTTTGCCCATCACCACATGGAGCAGCAGACACCACACCTGCATCGGTGTAAACGAGGCCAGAAACCTCAGCTCTCCTCCAACTCCAAACGGGCATTTTACTCAAAGCACACCTCGTTTCTTGCTCTTAAAACAAAACGGGGAAAGGCTGTTTTAAAATCTGGCGTATATAAAAACCCTGCCACCTTTAGTTGAAGGTGCTTCTTAGGTACTTCAAAAGCTCTGTCCTTTCACACGGCAGCATTTTCAGGAGGGATCAGGAACTACCGTTAAGGTCTAAGAAACAACAAAACACAAAACCCAGACTGTTTCCTGCACTGTCACCCCAAACCGCCTCCAGTGTACTGGGTGACCTGCCCGTTTCAGCAGGTTGCTATAGCAATTCATGTCACAAAAATATTCAGACACCAGAAGAAAAGGCACAAAAAGAATTAAAACAATGACAGATGAGATTAAAAAAAACCCAAAACTTAACCTCAAAATACCCTTTAATCACAACAAAGACCAAAAAACCCCCTTTGCGTTGTCCTTGGGAAATCAAGAAAAAATGAACTTGTTTTTGTTTTATGACTCAACATAAACAAGACTTGCTGGAAATACTGCTCATTGCTTGCACTCCATGCCAATTTATACTCCTGTTAGATCAGTCCCAATCCTACAGTCAAAAGTCCTTGTTAGAGCAAGAAAAACCACTCCTCTCAGGACTAAGCCCCTGAAGATGGAAGGACGGTCTTCAGTGAGAGAACTGCCTGCCGTCGGAAGACTTCTTGCTAATGTGCTTGAAGATTTTGGACTTCTCCACTTTCTTGGGCTTCTGGTAGCCGAACCCACCACCGCCGCCTCTCTTCTTCAGCTTGCCATCATTGCTGTTCACGTCTGCAGGTGCACGCTAAGGAAATCAAGCAACACAAAGATAGCACTCCAACCTGACAACGCCACGGGGGACCAAGCAGCACACACCCTGCTGTCCCTCCACCTCACCCTCCCTGAACCACGGAAACGTGTGACATGAGCCTACACAACACATCTGCAGGACATCAGGAGTGCCCTGTGACTGTGGACTAAAATTAGGGGAATCAGTGTAAGTCCAGTATATTAGTCATTCATTATTTTCTCCACACAATAGAACTCAGGACAATTACCTGTAAGAAATACAGAGGTAAATCAGCAAGTTTATAGGAACACAAAATATACTTCCTGTGTCAAAACAAATGACTTTCACCTCCACTGGGGCTGACTCAGGAATGCTTGACCAAGTGAAGATTCAACATGCAGGCGTTTACTCAACGCCCACAGGGATGCAACCCCAATCCGGCTGATGAACAGGCCTGCTCTAGCTGCTGTTTCTTCTGATGAAAATGTGATTATAAATTACAGCAGAAGCAACTGAGATACCCCCCGTGCCTTTTATCTTGAGTGGCACTTAAGTTTTCCTTTCTTTTGCTGATCTTGCAACGTCCTTGTATGAAATCCTTTAATGGCTCTAAGGATAGAAGCTCTTTGAAAGGTTCTGTCTTCTCTCTTTGGCTTGAGGGCACCCTAACCTCCAGACCTCACACAGCTAACCCGAACCTGTACAGCAGCCGAGCCTGCGATCCCCCGCCTCTCCCCAGACTGCACAGCTCCCTCGGGCTCGGCCAGTGAAATTCCTTTGACTTTTCTAAAGGCCCAAGTCATAACTGCCATGTTTCCGTCAATCTCACTCCCGTCACTATCCCTGCCTGACATGCAGTGACCAGGCCGAGCACCGTGCCTCCATTCCCAGCCAGAGCACCCACCCAACCACCCGCCCAGTGCTTCGCCCACATGCCCCTAATTCCTGCACCAACTCATCACAACAAAGAAAAGGATACTCAGATCAACAAAAGGAGGCACCTTGAAGCCAAATGACAGAGCAACGTGAGGCAAATTTAAGTTATTAACGTTAAAGATTTGTTTCAGAGAATGGGAGTCATATGCTCGAATGTACGACTTATATGCTTCCTGGGCTGACTTATGAAGGAAGTAGTTCTTTTCAATCAATTTTTCAAGCTGAAATGGAAAGAAACATTGGTTTTAATAAAACAGCAGATTTCACATATATTAGAAAAACCACCCTACAAAAACATTTGTGCCAATACACTTGTTCCAAGCTTTGCAACATTTGCAAAATCATGTCACAGTAAGAATAATTACAAAGTTCCCGTGTGGCCTGGCCTGAGACGACGAGAGCAGATGTGTGGTAACCTGCACAGCGAGAAACCAGACTGACCACGGTGCACACTTCCCAGTGATAAGGGACCCCAGGAGGCAATGCCTGCCGCGGGACAGGCAGAGGCAATGCTGGGACGAGCTGAGGCTGCCGGAAGAAAGCATACCTGGGACTGAATGTCAGAAATTTTGGACCAGGAAAACTCAAACTCACTTAACGGGACCTAGAAAACAAAAGCGTGAAGGTTAGTGAACTAGGATGGGTCACCACTCACATGTTTAGATGAAGAGAAAGTGGGAAGTCCTACAAACAGTGGAGGAAAGCTGAGGAATTTTACAGGCATGCGTCAACGAAGCCCTCTCTAAACAGGCTCCAGGGGATGGAAAGGCCTGGAGCTCTAGTCAGAGGACCCCTAGCTCTCCGTGCCAGAGCGGCCCCATCGCCACCCCACCCTCTGACTGAGTGTGGGACACCAGGTCACGATGACCACAAGCTCCCAGGGAAGGCCCTCTTAGTAGCCGTCACTGACCACAAGCTCCCAGGGAAGGCCCTCTTAGTAGCCGTCACTGACTAGGTAGTGGAAGAGGGCCAGACCTGCGCTGGGTGCTGGGAGGACGCAGCTGCCAGCACAGCTGTGGGGACATGGAGGTCAGGGCTGGCTTCCCAGAAGACAAAGCTAGCTGAAGCCAGAGGTAGTCTAGAGAACCAGGAAAGGGCATTCCAGAGAGAAAGTGCCAAGTCTAGTGGCAATTCTGGAAAGCTGCGCGGAGTTGTGGAATGAGGAAAATTCACCTGGCAAGACTGCAGGGAGCTGACAAGGAGGCAAATGCAGGGACAAGCAGGCCTGGTGAGCATTCACCACACCCAGCAACGGAGGCCACTCACAGTTACAATGAATTCAGGTTTGGTGGATGCACTGGACACAGGGTGAGTGGAACAATGGAGAAAATATAAACCACGATTCAAAATGCAGACAAAAGAAAGGCAACAGGCAGTAGCCAGGCTGGAGGGGTGGTAGGAGAGTGGGTTTCGGGCTGAAGTTATTTTTCTTAGTGAATGACTTGAGCTGGTAAAGAGCTGACTGCAAGGGAGAGACTGAAGACAAACCAGCTGACGAATGAGGGACAAAAGGAGGAGGAGCGAGAGGAGGAGGAAGGGGCAGGAGTGAATGAGGACCCCACTGCTTTGGGGAGGTAAGCAGGAAAGATGCTCGAGAAAAAGATGCAGAGAAGACTGCGGGGAGGGGAGCAGGAGGCAGCGACGGTCAGGTGTGATGGGTTTAACAGGAGGGAGGTGGTTTCAAACAGGCCACAGGACTGGGAGAGGAGGCGAGGGACACAGGCTGACAACACGGAACTCAAGATTAAGCCACAGGGGTAGTCCTTTCGGTTCACATTTCCTGGGCCAGCCCCCCACAAAACCTCATCTGTTCCACATCTGTAACAACTGTTCCAGGAGCACTGCAATGACTCATGACTCTTCGACACTTCGAGGCCACCTGCACTGGCCAACAATTCCACAAAGAGGATCTGTTCCAACTTAAGACTCCCAAGCAAAGACCTTTACCTTGGATTGCTTCAGGTAACGAAGGAAACCCAATTCTTCAGGACGCAAAATGAGCAAGGCATGCCCCCTTCCGTTTAGGCCCCTGGCAGTTCTTCCCACTCGATGAATGTATTCCTTTGGTAGAGAGAGAACATCTGAGTTCACACAGCCTGACAGGCACCCGTGACAGCCTGCATTCCCGGGACTAGTGGTGGTGGGCAGGTCAGCATTCTTTATGAGGGGGTGCCCCTCCCCGTCAATTCCTTCTGCATGCCCCATCCCCAAAGAGGCTATAGGACGATGACCGAGGCCAAAGGAAAGCTGGATATGAAATTCACATTAGCTCTATGGTCTAGTAAAATGACCAGTAAGTGTGCCTCATCCTCAAAATGGCTTTTTGAAACATTATTAAATGCCAGTTGACAATTTATATAATCTACTAGAGGCCCAGTGCATGAAAATTTGTGTACTGGGGTGTGTGTGGGGGGGTGTTCCTCAGCTGGGCCTGCGCCCTCTTGCAGTCTGGGATCCCTTTGGGGATGTCCACCTGCCGGCTTAGGCCTGCTCCTGGGGGGGGTGGGGGGGGGCAGGTCTAAGCTGGCAGTCAGACATCCCTCTGGCAGCCTGGGAGCCCTTGGGTGATGTCCGACTGTCAGCTTAGGACTGTTCCCCACAGGGAGCGGGCCTAAACTGCAGTTGGACATTCTTAATGCTGCCAAGGAGGCGGGAGAGGTTCCTGCCACCGCCGCTGCACTCGCAGTCATCAGCCTGGCTTGTGGCTGAGCAGAGCTCCCAGTGGGAGCGCACTGACCCCTGGTGGTCAGTGCGCATCATAGAGACTAGTCGTTCTGCCATTAGGGTCAATTTGCATATTACCCTTTTATTTTATAGGTGTTTGTTGAAAATACTTAGTAAACTTATTTTACTACATGTATTACAGTCTTATATATAAGAAAATTTCATTTCCTTCTGAAACCTACCACTCTTAGCAAATCATTCCAAGCATATAATAGTCCTAACTTAAGTCTCACTGATGCCTTTCAAATCTCCTTACACAGCCTTTTAGGTCCTGAAATAGTCCTAAATACTATTTTTTCCCCTAAATTTGAGAAATACTGCACAGTCATGTGCAATGAAACACGACTTACATAACTAAAGAATAAACCTCTGACTCTGAAATGCAGTATTTCTCAGGGAGCCAGGAGAACAAGTGTGCTCTTCAACGTACTGCCATCCTGAGACACCCGAGGATGCCACTTACCTTGGGGTCATCTGGAGGGTCATACTGAACAATCCAGTCGACTTCAGGAATGTCCAGCCCTCTGGCTGCCACGTCCGTGCACAACAATATGCCCGTATCCGCGTTGCAGAACTGGAAGAATGTGGTCGTACGCTTATTTTGCTTCTGCCTTCCCTAGAATCGAATACAAACATCCGTTAGAGCTGGAAACAGGAAGCTGCTGGGAGGTCCAGATGTAGAACCCCAAACTGGAGCTGTGAACCTGCTTTACTTCAAGTTCACTCCCTGGCCTGTGTCCTGTTTTCCACGTGGATGGTGTCTCTTATTCCTTGTGGTTCTCATTCCTCAAAACCCAGCCAAGCCCCCTCCACAGAGGACCACTCACCAATGTTGACTGACCTGGGGAGTCAGACCTCAAACCCCAGTTTATACACCTTGATAAGCACAACCTGTTTTTTTTTTGGTTGTTAATCCTCAACCAAGGATATTTTCCCACTGATTTTTAGAGAGAGTGGAAGACAGAGGGAAAGACAGAGAGAAACACTGATGTGAGAGAAACACATCGATTGGTTGTCTCCTGCACTAACCCCAACTAAGGCCTGGCTGGGGAGGAGCCTGCAACCGAGGTACGTGCTCTTGACTGGAATTGAACCTGGGACCCCTCGGTCCCCAGGCTGACGCTCTGAGCCAAACTGGCTAGGGCAGCACAACCTGATTTTAATGAACTTCTCATCATCACTCACATGAATGGCCAAGACAGGCAAATCGATGTAGTTCAGCAACTCATAGTGGTATTTCACGGACATACAAGATGAGAAGAAGACCATGAGTTTCTTCTTCCGGTTCTTCTTAAGGAATGTGAAGAGCAGGAGGAATCTTTTCTCGGAAGGACAAACAACATATCCCTAGAAGTAGTTCAAATGAACAGACATAAAAGTAACCAAGCGGACATTTGCAGCTCCATGAGCCAATATGATGAAGAGACGCTGCCCACACTGTTGTGCTTTCCCTACAGTAAAATCCCTGCCATCATAACACAGTATCCCTACAACAAGACAAATTTAAGCTCTTTAGATTCCTTTAACGGGCTGTAACCATTGGACACTGAATTCTTTTCATTATTTCTGAGATTACTGGTAATCAACAGTTCTTGCAACCATAATACATTAATATCTCAACTAACTGGAACTCTCAAGATATATCAATGATTCATTTTTGAAAACTCTTTAATAGCAACATCTCAAATAATCACAGCTTACATACATAGTCCAAAACAAGAGCACAAAGATGGGTGAATATATTTAAAAAATAACAAAACACCAACGAAAGGTTTTTAAGCTGAATTGTTACAGAAAATATTTTATTCACCAAAGACTCGATCTTCAAGTCCAATTTTTTAAAATATTTTTTTATTGATTTCCTAGAGGAAGGGAGAGGGAGAGAGAAACATCAATGACGAGAATCATTGATCGGCTGCCTCCTGCACGCCCCCTATTGGGGATTGAGCCCCCAAACTGGACATGTGCCCTTGACCAGAATCGAATCTGGGACCATTTAGTCCATAGCCTGACAATCTATCCACTGAGCCAAACTGGCTAGGGCTTCAAGTCCTATTTTTAATCAACCTAGTTTAGATCTCTGTGACCTCATTTCTAATTTTCCACAGCTATATGCCTGAAACCAGTCTCTCCACCTTCTAACTCAGAGCAAGATCCCTAAACATTTTAAAATGGTGGTTAATGATGCTTCCTAAGTGGTTAGTGGTATTAAGAGACAGTAAAGAGAGCTAATTAAATTATTCAGAGTTCAAGTTACGTTATGCTAGAAGAGCCAGCGATCCAATACGCAAGTTCACTATATTTGAATTAAAAGTTCAATAACCCACAGCTTTCTGGAGGATACTCCAAACAATTACAAGGAAACACACGTGCCCACATTCATTAACATGTAAGTTATTGACAACAATACCTGCTCAAGACCATCCACTGTTGCATTAGTTTTATCATCATCGACACCAACATACAATGGCTCCTTTTTCAGAGAAATCCTCGCCAGGTCCTCAACTCTGCGAGTTTGTGTGGCAGAAAAGAGCATGGTCTGCCTGCGTGCTGAAACACATACATGTAAGAATAATCCGAACCTTTCAGGGGATCCGCAGAACTGCTTCACAACTACAAATGCTCCTAAACAGGACTATCAGGAATGGGAGACACGGTAACACTACAGAGATTGAGGGAATATCACAAACAACTTTATGTTCATAAATTTGACAACTTAGATGAAATGGACAATTTCCTTGATTGAAAGACAAACTGCTAAAGCTCACTTAAGAAGAAATAGAAAACGTGACTAGCCTGTACCTATTAAAAAAACTGTACTTAAAAATCTTCATGTAAAGAAAGCTACAGCCCTAACGGCTCCAGTGGTGAGTTCTAGCAGACTTTTATGGAAGAAATATTACTGATTCTTCACTCGCTCTCCAGGACACGAGGGAATTTACTTCCCAGCTTATTCCTTGAAGCCAGCCATTACCCCAACATCCAAACCCAACGACTCATGAGCAGAAATGCAAAATTTCTAAGCAAAACTTTAGTAAAGTGAACCCAGCAATATATAAAAAAGGATAAGGCATGGCTAAATAGGGTTTATTCCGTGAATGCAGAGCTGGTTGCTTTAACACTGGGAAATTAACCAATACAATATACCATATTAACAGAGTAAAGGAGAAAATCTGATCATTTCAACAGATACAGAAAAAGCTTTTGACAAAATTTACCATCTATTTCTGATTTTAAAAAACCTAAACAAACGAGGAACAAAAGGGGTCATCCTCAATCTGCTAAGGGGCATTTACAAAAACCTACAGCTAACATACTTCATGGTGAGAGACTGAATGCTTTCCCCACTAACCTCAGGAACAAGACAAAGATCTCGTCTCACTACTTCTATTCTGTATTGTACCTGAGGTTCTCACCAGTGCAATCAGGCAAGAAAAATATTAAGTGAAGAATTTACTTTATTTGTAGCTGACATGTCTGCCCATGCGTAAAATCCAGGCTCGTTTCATCTGAAGGTTCATGCTGAACAATCCAGATGAACATAGAAATAATTACTTGCCAGACATAAAATGGATATACAAAAATCAACCATATCTGTACATACAATAAACAATTTGAAATAGAAATTTTAATGAAGTACTTAGAAATTAAGGGGCTAATAAATGGAGATATACCTTATTCATAGGTTGAATTGACTCAATACTGCCTTTCACCAATGCTCTATCCTATGTAATAAAAGGCTAATATACAAACTGTCCCCACAGGCGGGAGTTTGACCAACTGGGAGTTAGATGTGCACTGACCACTGGGGGCGGCACGGAACATGGCAGGGGTGGCAGGCGGCCGGGGGAAGAGAGGCCCCGGTCAGCAGCTGTGAGGGACCCTACCCGTGCACGAATTTTGTGCACTGGGCCTCTAGTATTCAATAAAATCCCAACCAACCAGGTATTTTTAGGGAGTAGAAACTGACAAACTGCTTCTAACATTTATACAGAAATGCAAAGGAGAAGAGCCAGAACAATTTTGAAAAGAACTGTTTGAAGTTCATCCTAAGACTTAATAGGTAGAACTGGAACTTCTGTACGCTGCTGAAGGATATGAAAAATGGTACAAATTAAATAACTAGTCACTCCACTCCTCAGTAGTTACCCAAGAGAAAGAAAATATGTGCCCATAAGAAAGTTGTAGATGAATGTTTGTAGCAACTTCATAAATCTCTAGAAAATACGAACACATCTACAGTGACAGAAGGCAGATCAACAGCTGCCTGGGAGGGAGATGTGTGTGAGTGGCTGCTGGCAGTTGGCAGTAGGTGCGGGTTGCTCCTACAGAGGCTGGGAGGGAGTACAAAGGTGCATGAACGCACTTTAGAGGGTTATGGAGATGTTTACTATATTGATGTGATAATGGTTTCATGGGTGGAATGTGAGCATTTAGCAAACTGAGGATTTAAAATATGTACCGATCATGTCAATTACCTCCCAGTAAAACATTAAAAAACAAATTGTATGATGAATGGAATCATGGCCTTATTACGGATGTAAGCAGTTTATAATGTTACAAGTACTATAACCAAGCTATGCGCAACTCAAACATCACACAGGAGGCTACAAGTCTACAGCTGCCTGGGAGGTGCCAGGTGAAGGTAAGAGGGGTGGGGGGTGGGTGGGAATGAGACATATGTTTGGACTGTTTAACTTGCATTAAACCTCTAACTTGGAAAACCACTGTATTAAGTTACTAATACATTTGATGTTTATATTGCAAACTGCCTCTAAGGTTAATTGGCATAGCGACTTCACTTGGCTATATTAATACACTGTGGACCAGTAGTTTCTTTTTTTTTTAAATATATTTTTGATTTCAGAGAGGAAGGGAGAGGGAGAGATAGAAACATCAATGATGGGAGAGAATCACTGATCAGCTGCCTCCTGGATGCCCCCCACTGGGGATTGAGCCTGCAACCTGGGCATGTATCCTTGACTGGAATCGAACCCAGGATCCCCCGGTCTGCAGGCTGACACTCTAACCACCAAGCCAAACCAGCTAAGGTGGGACCAGTAGTTTTATTGCTGGCTTTACCTAGTGGCCAGATAAGTTTCCATTGAACGAGTACAAAAACGTTTTACATAAATGTTAAAGGCACACTTACAAATTAAATACCCATTGCATTTTGAAGTTATTTCTTACATGTTCTTATAAACTAATATCTTTTTAAAGTATGATACTTTGTAAAACACTGTGTAACATGAAGCGAAAATTCTTGTGATCTGTCCGCAACGTGTTAAAATTCTGGTATTAATAGTTTTGATATAGAAACAACTCTCACTGCTTCAAACAACCACTTTGCAAACTACATACAGATACTACCCACTTACTTGGCAGAAGTTTAATAATTTGCTTTAACTCCTCTTCAAACCCAACATCCAAGATACGATCAGCCTCATCAATAACCAGACACTGCAGGTTTTTATACATAAACCCTGGAGTATTCTAACAAGACAAAGAAACACTGTCAGTTGTAAAGTTTGTCTGACACAAGACATGAGAAGTACTACACACTGTTCTCTCACCTGCATGTGGTCCAGGAGGCGGCCTGGTGTGGCCACAATGATGTTGATCCCATTAGCAAGCTTCTGTGCCTCAGCAGACCTGTTGCTGCCACCCATTATCAACCCGTATGTGTGAACGTGGTGTGTCATCAGCTCTTTAAGAACACCGAAAGTCTGCATGGCCAGTTCCCTAGTAGGGGAGAGAATAAGAACTCCAGTTCCTAAAAGGCAAAAGAATGAATATGGAAAAAGTCAAACTAATTATCACCACAAGTTCATAAAAGCTGCAATGAACTTCTAGTGAGACAATGGCAGAAACAACTGGATCAAAGGCTTACCATTCCTGGGCATGAACTTTAACTTAACAATGAGTTCAACTGCAGGGATGAGGAAGGCCAGGGTTTTGCCACTGCCAGTTTTTGCAGCTGCCAGAAGATCCCTAAATGTTAAAAAGGGAAAGGAAGAGAGACACTCAGTATACTCATTCACCAAGTACTTACTGAGCAGCCAGCACGCACAATCACAGGCGTTTTAGGCTCCAAGGCTAGAACAGGATCGAGAAAGATAAGTTCCTACCTTCTCTATCACTGAATTCAACCATCTGAGTAAAACACCTAACTCAGAAGTAAGAATCGTGCCAGGAAACAGAAGTGAACACTTTTCTTCCAACACCAGGACGTAATTTAAAGCCTTTAATGCAGGTTGGGTATGTAAACCAACACAATACTCATCAAAGAACACACTGGTAGTTCCTGGGCATAAACTTTCCTGGGCAAACAACTAGCACTACAAACAGATACTAATGGCCAAGCGTCCATGTTAATCATACCTGCCTTCCAGAAGTGGTCTGACACTTTTATGCTGGATTTCGGTCATGTTTGTAAAGCCCATTTCTTTTATTGCCCGGAGAGTGTTCTCATTGACAAGATTAGAGAGAGAAGCAAATGAAGTGTCCTCGAAAGCCCCTAAACGGAAGACAGTTGATCATTAGCAAATTTATCATTTTTAGTGGCTAATTCAGCTAGATTGTCTAAATTAGTTTTGCTGATTGAAAGCATTACTGGGTTGCAGTCAAACTTATTAGAGCTTCTTCCACTAAGACAAAATCCCAACCATTCCTATGTAATATTAAGAAAAAGACCCTAAACTTCAAAAATATGTCTCCTCTGCTGATGGCTGCGTAATTTAAAGTCCATGTTCAGAGCCCCTAATGTAACAAATAGTAAGGGAGATAGAGGAAGTACAACCAAGAGGTTTGCAGGAAATGAAAATGTCAAGGGTGGGGTTGGGGACAGGAGTGCAGAGAAATAAAATGTTTAAGAAATCCGAAATAAAAAGTGAAAACATCCTATCTAATAATAGAGAAACATGGTAATTAACCGTAACTTCGCTACCCTTCCCATTGGCTAATCAGCGAGCTATGCAAATTAACTGCCAACCAAGATGGCGGCTGGCAGCCACGCAGCTGAAGCGAACATGAGGCTTGCTTGCTCCAGTGACGGAGAAAGCCAAGGTTCCCCGCCTGCCACAGCCCAGCTCTGAGCTCCAGATGCAACAATGTTGCAATTATAGAAGCTAAAAAAACCCAGAAACCTGCTTTCAGCCGCCAGCGGGCTCAGAGCTTAGAGCGCCAGTGATGGCAACAGAGTTTCAATTATAGAAGCTAAACAAACCCAGATACCTGCTTTCAGCCAGCCACAGCCTCAGAGCTGGAGCCGGCTCTCAGCTCCAGTGACAGCTAAAGAAGGTAAATAAATCCCAGAAGAAAAAAAAAAAAGAGGCTGGGAGCTTCAGTCTCTCGCCAGCCTGAAAACGGCCCTCAGCCCCTCACCCAGACTGGCCAGGCACCCCAGTGGGGGCCCCCACCCTGAAGGGGGTGTGACCAGCTGCAAACAGCCATCAGCCCGTCATCCAGGCTGGCCAGGCACCCAAGCGGGACCCCCACTCTGATCTGGGACACCCTTCAGGGCAAACCAGCCGGCCCCCACCCCTGCACCAGGCCTCTATCCTATATAGTAAAAGGGTAATATGCAAACTGACCCTAACAGCAGAAAGACTGGGAATGACTGGTCACTATGACACACACTGACCACCAGGGGGCAGACGCTCAATGCAGGAGCTGCCCTCTGGTGGTCAGTGTGCTCTCCGCTCAGCCACAAGCCAGGCTGATGGCTGCCAGTACAGCAGTGGTTGTGGGAGCCTCTCCTGCCTGCTCAGCAGTATTAAGGATGTCTGACTGCAGCTTAGGTCTGCTCCCCGCTGGCAAGTGGACATCCCCCGAGGCTGCTGGGCTGCCAGAGGGATGTCTGATAGCCAGGTTAGGCCCAATCCCCCAGGGAGCGGGCCTAAGCCAGCAGGTGGTCATCCCATGAGGGGTCCCAGACTACGAGAGGGCACAGGCTGGGCTGAGGGACCTCCCTACCCCCCGAGTGCACAAATTTTTGTGCACCGGGCCTCTACTTGAGGATAATAAAAGCCAAGAGTGAAGTTAATCTCACCCCCAAAAGACAACTGAGTCAGATACGGGCGGACCGTTGGACTGGACCTCGGTGTTGGGTGTGCATTCCTCAGCAGGGAGCACCAACGCCCTCACCTCCTCGACCCCCCACGCGGGAGTCCCTACTCCTCACAGCCTGGCTAACCGACACCTTGGGCTGGAGAGTTCTGTTGCAAGAGGCTGTCCTTTATACACAGGATGTTCTGCAGATCCTTGACCTCTACCCAGGGGATGCCAGTAGCCTGCCCCAGTTCTGACAAAAATGTTAGTGGCCAACCCTCATGATTTCCCTGGGAGAGAGGAGGCTTATGAGATGCTGGACTTTCAAAGCTAAAACTGGTCATGTTCTGGGCAAACCAGGATGAGCTGGTCACCCCACCTGGGAGACAAAATTGCCCTGGATGAGAATGCTGCCATCTTTGCAATTCTGATCAGGCAGGTCTGGGGCTGGGCCTCAGTATTTTAACAGAAAATCCAAACCAAGCAATTCAAGTGACTCCTAGACATTTTTGGTTAGGAGCAACTAATTCTAGTCTAAACTCTTGACTTTACAGATAAAGAAACAAGGGCCAAAGGGGGTTAACCTGGCACAAGTTCTTCGATGTTAATTCCTGCCTCCCCATTCCTTCTTACTAAGCCAGTATTAAACCGCTGGTCTCCAGACTCTGGGCCAATGATGTTCCCCCTACAACATGGAATGAGCTTTAGAAAATGATAAACCAAAGGAACAAAGGATCTCAGAAGCTGTTAGTGTGCATTCTTAAAATACTGTCAGGAATAAAGGAAAGACCAGAGAAAGAACAAAAACTAAGGCACAATATGGAAGATAAAAGCTGCACTTAAGATATTAACCATTTCTTGTCAGTATTTACTTCTCCCAGGCACAAGTCACAACTTACTTCACATCTTATAATCGGGAGAGGCATGGCATTTTAAAGATCTGGGGACCGTGCCGGGTTACCTGTCAGTCCCAGGGGCAGGCTGGGCACCTCGCTCTCCTCTTCCCCGTCACCTGGCTTCCCCACGCTGGTTTCGGTTTCTCCAGGGGCCTGGGCACCTTCCTCTGGCTCCACTTTGTCTTCCGTTTTTGCTTTTTTGGTATCTTTGGTTTTAAAGAACAACCCCCCCCATTTTATTTTCTTCAAATAAAAATAGCAAACAAGATCACAAAATAAAAGATGTGTGACACAAAAAGGTCTATTTTCAAAAGCTTAACACATTTACAGCTTTAATTTGCTAAGGAATGTCTCTTTCATAAAGATTTGGTTATATTTATTTAAGAGCCCAGGGGGACGTGCAGATTTGCCAACAAAACTTTGTATTTTAGGATTTTTAATGTATTATAGCATCTTCAGTAATCACCTTTTAAAAAGTCTAACTAAACCATTTAAGTATTGTAATTACACCAGGTTCTATATACTTCACTGAGTTTTTAGTCTCTATAAAAGCTAATTTTGTTGAAAGATGAACAAAAATACCAAAGGCTCATGTCACTGAAGACAGACTCCAAAGCAGGGCTACATCCACTCAGCTGGTGGCAGGCACTGGCCGTCCCTGAACGTAAGTGGTGAGGGGCCGAGAGGAAGGCCTCCAGCTCTCACTTCTCCACCCCCATGTTCACCATGCTCTTCGATGTTCCTCTGGGTCACGTGGGTTAGCTACCACGCTGGGCTTCTGTCGATTTATGGTGGTTCGTGAGGCTAGGACCCCGACCACAACTCAGGACTCTTGTAGCCCAGGACTGGCCTCTTCCCGAGACTTTACTACCATCTTTGTGGGAAATGGCCAGCTCTGCAGGACCCACACGTTCGAAAGCCATGGATATCACCAGCCGGTCTTCACGACTGATCACTTCTGTTTTCCTTAAGACAGTTCTTAAAGTTTACTCATCGAGTTAAAACCTGCAGCCCTGCAATTCAATGCTTGAGAAGAGAAATAAATCACTGTCTTAAACAACTTAGAAAAAGAATCCTAAAGAGGCTAATGATTTTAGAATCAAATTACAGTCACTTTAAATAAAAACGGTAATGTCTTATCTTCATGCTTTTTTCTATCTGGTTTCACTATTTAAGCAATTTCTCAAAACCTACAAATGTGCTTGTCTGTAGGCAGCATGAAGACAGCTGTGCATGTTTAGAAAAGTTCCAAGCTTCTTTCTAAATGAAAGCTTTATTTCAGACAAGACAGATAAATAGCAAATTCTAACCTAGGTGCTGGCAAAACTTTTTCTTAAAGGGTCAGATAGTAAACAGGTTTTGCAGGCCACATGGTCTGTCACCATGAAGACCAAGTAAACAGTGGGTATTGCAGCATTCATAAAGCTTTTCTCACAACGATGGCAGAAGGCTGAATAGCTGCGCTTCTACTCTCCCCTGAAGTCTCAGCTAGCTCGCATCTCAATGCAATGCCTCTCACCTAAGCTTCCTCACATCCAATCACCTCCCTAAAGAAAACGGCACTTCCCCGCAACACTGCCCTGGTCCTTATACTCGCTTGGAAGTTAATGTTCCATTTATTCAGAAGTTTCCTAACTGCTATTTGTACACTGTGCACATCCAAATGATCACCAACTCTTTTTTTCAGAAGGGAGGAATTTATGGTAGGAAAAGGAATGGGGCAAAAGAGAGGTAAGTGAAAAGAGTCATTCATGCAAAGGCCAGAAAAGTAGATTCTACTACCTGCCGGATTTTAGCACCAGTAATTCCACAGCTGTGTGCAAGCAGGTAACCCTAAAGTATGACGCCATAGTATGTTCTATCAGCAGGGGAAGAGCAAATGTCTAGACATCTAAGGAGATTCTTCTTCTTCTTCTTCTTTTTTTTTTTTTTAAATTTTAAATATTTTATTGATTTTTTACAGAGAGGAAGGGAGAGGGATAGAGAGTTAGAAACATCGGATCAGCCGCCTCCTGCACATCTCCTACTGGGGATGTGCCCGCAACCCAGGTACATGCCCTCGACCGGAATCGAACCTGGGACCTTTCAGTCCGCAGGCCGACGCTCTATCCACTGAGCCAAACCGGTGCTGGCAGGAGATTCTTCTTTAAGTGAGGTCTTATTCAAGGCTGTTAGGGAACGTACAGGCATGACAAATATTTTGAGAAAAGTTAAAGTGTAAGCCCTCTCCCCAATGTTTTCTTGAGCTCATCGGGTAGTTTCTGGAAACTAGTGAGTACCAGGGGTACTTGCATGTCATGTGGGCACAATAATAAAGAAAGGAGAATGATAACTAACGGAAAACAGTTTAAATGGATTCAAATAAAAGAAAATGAAGAACTTACCAGGCCCAGCATTATCCACCATTTTTCTCTTTTTCTTTTTCTTCTTCTTCTTAGATTCTGAACTGGGAGTGTGCACTGCTGCTTCCCCGTTGGTTAATATGGTAGATTTCTTGGGGGACTTTTTAACTTTTACATCTTCCACTGTTTCTTTAGATATATCTCCATTTTGGGCTTCTGACAGGCCCTTATTCACAGACGGCTTTAGGGATTTTTTAACTTTCCCACCTCCCACTGTTTCTTTACATGTATCTCCATTTGGGGCTTCGGACAAGCCCACATTCATGGAGTGTTTCAGGGATTTTTTAATTTTTCCACTTGCTACGGTTTCTTGAGACACATCTTCATCTTGAGTTTCTGACAGGCTCACATCCCAGGTCCCTGTTTAACACAGAACACACTGTATCAAAGGGGAAGTTTACTCAGAAACAGCTGGAATCTCAAATGAGAAATTCCATGGCTTCCAGAACTGAAATGATTTAGCTTTTGCTTCCCTTTCATATACGGTTAAGTCCTCACTTAATGTCAATGGTAAGTTCCCATGGCATCTCATTAATGCCACAATGAACGATACTGAACAGGACGACACTATTTGAGGACCTGCTGTACATTATTAAAACCACTTCGCCCGGGCCAGTGTGGCCGGTCCCACACACCCAGAGGCTGCTGGTTCCATTCCCGGTCAGGGCACAAGGCCTGGTGGGGGCTTGCCCACCCCCAGTGGGGGGCCGGCAGGCGGCAGCCGATCAACGTTACGCTCTCACATAGATGTTTCTCTCTTCTCCCTTTCTCTCTAAAAGTCAATAAACTATATTCTTTAAAACACTTGCAATTTTATGGTGTTGCAAATAAATTCCTCTTAAGGAAAAACGCTGGAAAAAGGAAAGCTGCATTTCTTAATTTCAGAAAACCATCTCTGTCAAGAGTTAAAAGTTTGGAATAAGAAAACTTTAAGAGGTTAAATTTTTAAACAGCTGGGGTGAGACAATGGTAGTTACAAAATACGCATTTAATATAGACATTAATAACATATGACTAACAGGCATATTAAAAACAACTTACATGTTATTCACACAACTACTGCTTCTCATAAATACAACTTCAAAACACTCACCCTGAATTTTCCTAGATGTTAGTGAATTGGAAATTGTTGGTGAAACCACTCCTTTGTCCCAATAGTCATACTAAATAGCTGAAAATGTCTTTCCAAAAGCTCCCATGTTTATGTATAAAAAAAGATTACATCGTCTTTTATTGTAATCTATACCTTTACCGGAAAGTAATTAGTAATGCTGTATTAGTCTATGAGTTGGAACTATAAGGGAACCTCTGAAACCTACAACGCTTGCTCCTCCAGGATTTCTTCCAATCAGCTAATCTCTGTTGAAAACCAATTGGGGTGACACACTGGACCTCAAAAATCGCCTTCGCGGGTTTACGTCTTATTACACAGGACCCCGAAAGCTTAACCTGCACAGCTTTAAGACCTCCGGCTCACCGGCAGAGGGCAGGGCTGCAAACGAGGTCGGCCAGCAAGGTGACATGCAGGTAAGAGCCCTTTGTATGTATCTCTGTGCAAGATGCAAACACGCAGGCATTTATAAACTCGGGCTGGAAGTGCTGGAGCACAGGGTGGAGGCTTTGCATCTGATGCTGAGCTGTCAGTGCAGGCGTGCCCCCGGAGCAGAGGCGGGGGAGCGCTGCGGCAAGGGGACAGTGAGCTTCCTGTGGAGATACAGACACTAAGCTGGTGATGCAAAAGCAAGGTGCATGGAGGGAGGTGCTCGTGTCGGCTCGGAAACGGGTGAGGTGGGACCCGCAGGCAGAGAGGGAGGCAGAATGAGGGAGACAGAACAAAACCTAACCCTAACTTTCATAGGTCAGAAAGGCTGGTTTAGCAGGGGAACGCCTGGAGGCCTGGGAGGAACGCCTGGAGGCCTGGGAGGAACGCCTGGAGGCCTGGAAGGAAAGCCTGGGGCTCCTGCCTTAAGTCAGCAGCAAGGGGAACCCGACGGCCAGCGTGTCAGGCAGACTGAGGCCGCGGGCGAGTGGGCGCCGGCTCGGGACCCCCCTCGAGGCCGCCTTTCCACTCTCCACAGCACACGTGCTCTAGGGACGCTGCCCGCCACGCCGGGGCCCGGGGCACGCCAGGCGCGCCACGGCCACGCGGGGGCTCCAAGCGCCGCGGCGCCGCGAGGCGAGCCAGCTCACCCTGCAGCTTTAGGTTCCTCTGCCGCAACTTGAGGTTCCGCTTCTCGATCTTCCTGCGCAGGAGCTTCATCGGCAGGTGGGCCATGTTGACGAAACGCTTCCCAGCGGCGCCGCAGCCCGGCTTCTGCGCGCTCCCGGGTGACGTCACTTCCTCTCCGTACGCACGTGAGCCGCGCGGCCAACAGGATATACGTCACAGGAAACGCTAGCGGCCTGTGGACCGAAAATGTGTCCCGGGTGGAAAGGCTTCCGGGCGCGTGCGCCGCGCTACACTTGGCGACCGGATTCCGTGCAGCGCCCCCTCGTGGGTTGGAGGCCCGCGCCTGCGCCGGGTTCGCATTGTGCCAGAGCTGGCAGGGCATCTAAGCACCTGGGGTGGGGGCGTGGGGTGGGGGGTGGTGTGTGTGTGTGTGTGTGTGTGTGTGTGTGTGAATTTGGGAAATTGAACCAAACCTAACTTTCACATAGGTTTTTTCCACGCTCCTGGTTACATAAGAATAACATTTCTCAAAGCAACACCCTTACTCTTGTGTTTCATTCATATTTTTCTTTCCATTCCATTCATTCCACCATAAAGTACTCTATTCTGAGCCATTAAAAATTCACATCACTATGCCTTCAATTTCACAGCAGTATTATTGGTTTAGCTGCAGTTTGAAAAACAGGTTTATAATGATAATTCCCCAACACTCACCCATGGGCCCTGTAGGAGTCCAGAGCATAAGTTGCAGTTTGGCTACCTTGTAGGCCTCTTATTTTCTTTTATTTATCTATTGTGTGTGCGTGTGTGTGTGTGTGTGTGTGTGTGTGTGTGTGTTGCGCAGAGAGGTGCATAGAGTGTTTAAAAATAGAGTTATCTCTATTAGAAAATTGGGATAGTTCATACTGAAGTTGATATTTTTCTTGAAAAGTTGCTTCAATTCCTCTTGGAAGTAACTAGTTTGGGCTGAGCAATCCCCTGAGAAGGGTCAATGAAACCTGCATTCGTTTATTTAGAGAGTCAGGGAAAGAGCTGATGGGGATTAGACATGATTATAGGGAAGAAGGGAGAGGGAGAAACAAAACCTAACTTTCACATAGGTTTTTTCCACGCTCCTTAGTGAGAAATACACCTTCCCTGGTTACATAAGTATAACATTTCTCAAAGCAATACCCTTATTCTTGTGTTTCATTCATATTTTTGGGGCAGTGGTTCTCAACCTTCCTAATGCCGCAACCCTTTAATACAGTTCCTCATGTTGTGGTGACCCCCAACCATAAAATTATTTTTGTTGCTACCTCATAACTGTAATTTTGCTACTGTAAACAATATGTAATTATATATGTGTTTTCCGATGGTCTTAGGCGAACCCTGTAAAAGGGTTGTTCGACCCCCAAAGGGGTCTCGACCCACAGGTTGAGAACCGCTGGACTTTAAACAGAATATGAGTGAATTGACTGAGAAGTCACCTTGAACTGGGCTGGAAAACCAAGACAAACGAACAAATCCTGATGTGCCTAGATTGTTGTTGGTTAGGCAGGCTAAAAAATGAGATTTAAATGGGCCCATGGCGTGGCTCAGTGGTTAAGCATCAACCTATGAACCAGTAGGTCACAGTTCGATTCCAGTCAGGGCACATGCCCAGGTTGCAGGCTTGATCCCCAGTGTGGGGTGTGCAGGAGGCAGCCGATCAGTGATTCTCATCATTGATGTTTCTATCTCTCTCTTCCTCTCCCTTCCTCTCTGAAATCAATAACAATATATTTAAAAATAATAATAAACTGGTACACACACACACACACAGCTGCACATGCATACACACATATATCTCAGTTTAAACAGATATAAGTTTAAATATATATGTCTATACAGTATACACATTGTGTTGTTTATATTTTGTATATTATGATAATGTTTAATAAAAAAAAGTTTCTGCCTGGGGAAGATTTTAATTCCAAGGACTAGCCAATTCTTAGAGATAGGGAAAGACTCAGCTAGGAACATGCCTTTGATTTGCAAATTAATCAATTGTTGGAGGAGGTTATTAAGAGGACTTGACCCCCCTATTGACCCTGGAGCTGGACCCAGGCAATTGGAGGCTCCTCACCCCCCCTTCACTGCCCTTGGAAAGTTTGATCAGTCCAACATTTCCACAGTGGGAGGCATTTTCAAGGATGAAGCCTTGAGAGAGCAATGTGTTGTGAGACCGTCTGAATGCTGTAAGCGACTGAACCCCATTAAGGCCCTGCATCAACTTTTAAGATTCTGGTGGGTGGGTGCAGAGATCTATTCACTGTCCGGCCACCTAAGACTCGCTTCATAAGTAGGTTCCCTTGCTTAGTAAGCCTGCCATCTACCAATCTGGAGTGGCTGCCTCTTTATTCGGTCTCTCCTTGCTCTCTGCATACGGGCCAGTTTCAGATCTCATTCGGGGAAAGCCTGAGGTCTTGAACCAATGTCAATCCAGAGCCAAACTTTCTCTCTCTGGCCAGTGCACCCCCGGAGGCAATATTCTTCTGCCTTAATCATCCCAGGGCCAGGTACTAGGCAACTAGGGACCGCTCCAATAGTTTAGAGCCCACCTAAATTATTTAAATTAGCCAACCTAATTTCAACTGTTCCCCTGCCCTGCCTTGCCTTTTCTGATGGAATGCCAATAAAGACTGTGGCTGTGGCTCTCCCCTTGGTCTGGTTCCTTCAGCCTCCTCACAGATGTTGATGCTTTCCCATGGCGTGGTGTGCCTCCTGTTTCCACAACCCGTGATTATAATAATCTGTCTTCCTGAGCCTCTCCTGTGTCTCTTCTAGCCACACCTGACTGATCATCACACAAAAGAACAAAGAATACACAATACATACCTACTTCTCCCTCTCTCTCTCTCTCTCTCTCTCTCTCTCTCTCTCTCTCTCTCACTATATTCACGTGATTACACACCTGAGTATTGGGTCTGTGACTTTGAAATTCATGCCCACTACTAGGTACAATAACTAGTATGTGGTCCATCTAGAAAGTGCTCAAAAGTGTTATTTTCTTTCTGCTGTAACTTAAATGTGTGGGTCTGAGAATGCTTTGGCATCAGTAACGGAAGGCAATCCCTTCTCTCTAGCTAATAGTGAGATTTGGGAGTTATCTCCATAAGACCATAGAACCCATGGCTTGAGTATGTTCAAGATGTTTAAATCGGGAACGCTGATCCCGTAAGGTGCATGGAAAGGATTTATTTTAGGGATTGATGCCTTTCAATAGTCGTAAATAAGGCTACTGATGTCAGCTTTTCTGGATTCTTAGGAGAGGAATGAGAAATGATAACCTTGGATTGACTCTCAAAATTGGGGGTGGGAGTTATTTTAACAGAGTGAATTTCTAAGACTAGGTCTGGTAAACAAATGAGTATCATTAAATTGTATTTCAGAAAGTATCTGTGAGGTTTGGGGAGGTGGTAATGAATCATGTGCCTCTGAAAATCCTGTTGCCCCTCATTGTTAGAGCCCATCTTAGTATCTATTTCATAAATGTTTAAGCTTTATAACTTCTTGCAGGAGCTCCCCATCCCAGACATCTCCTGCCCAGAATACATTCATTTGCCAATTCACTAATTTAGCAACTACTCTGTGAGTATATTTATGCTAGGAGTATGTGATAGCTGTGTGCTAAGTTTTGGAAATAGAATGGTGGATAAAATCAACACAGCTTACCTTCATGGTGAAGACCTTACATGGAGAAGACAGAAATGTAAACAATTATGGCAAAGTATACATTGATAAGGGAAACACAGGACCTGGCAACACTGTATTTTGAGCTAGAACAGAGTAAGTTAAATATATTTTATGAGAAAGAATGAATGTCCCGGGGCTGACCAGCAGACCCTGAGTGATGGATGAATGATTACTCTGACACACGTTTCTGTAAATAGAGGCTAAGGGACTGCTTGGCTATAGGAACCAAACAGCCCCATTCACCTGCCTCCTTAGGCTTTTATTGTAACAGCAGCTTGAACTAAAATGAGCTATTAGATACTATCAGTAGGATAAGCATCTTTGAGAAGACACATGCGTCTGCAGTGTCCTTTAAGTAAGGACGTCTAAAGACTGGACATAGAGATTCCAGTAAAACACCTGGGGGCTCAGACTTGTTTGGAAAAGTCAAGGCAGTGGCTGCCGCCTTTGGCAAGGTCCCCCTGGAGGCCCCCAACCTTTCGGAGATTCCTTCTTACAGACTTTCCTACCAAGTCCCTTGCTTCCCCACAACTGGGTAACCAATTGGATGTGGAATTGAGAGAGAGAGAGAGAGAGAGAGAGAGAGAGAGAGAGAGAGAGAGAGAGAGAAGTGAAGGATGCAGCTTTGGATGTGTTATATAGAATACAGGAACAGGGAAAAAAGTTTGGAGGATGGTGGTGAAAAGGAGGAAGGGAAAAGAGAAAATTAGTTAAGTGGTGAATATTTAGTGGGGGCAGAATTACATGTAGTAGATAATTCACAAATATGTCTTGGGTGAGTGAAGATAGAAATGCATCCCTACCTGAGAACGTACAGACAGATCGGAATGGACTAAATGGGGCTAAGGGTTTTTCCATATAAAATTCCGAGTTTGTGATGTCAATTTCCCAGATGTTTTGGCAGGCAGCTGGAGCAGGTAAGTGAGAGCCAAGAACATGTATCGCAGGAAGGGTCTGAAGCATGGGTGGAATTTGTTTGGGGAATGGTGTAACAAAGGGGTACGGTGGGGTTGAACCTCCTGTCAGCAAGTGGGTAGACTCAGAAGTTTTTGAGGAGAGTTGGGAAGGTAATAATGAAGATAAGGAAATACGGAAACAGACCACACATAGGCCCTTAAGTAACAGGCTTCAGTCTGGACATAATTTGATAGTTTATGACAAAATAGGCTCTTGGGAAGGACAGAGGGCGTGATCAAATTTATGCTTTTGGAGGACTTATCAGCAGTGCTCAGGTGCACTTGCTTAAGGGGAAGAATTGAGACCAGCTGGTGGCTATTTCAATAATCTAAGAAGGAAGTGGTGGGATTTCATGGTACTTGTTCCATGCCCCCATGTGGTCTCCCATGCATGGCACATCCCCCCTCCTTCACTGTCTTCACTCAGTCTTGTCCACCTCATCCTTCAAGACTCAGCTTCCACACTGCCCACTCTGGCGAGCTCCCTAACCCCTCCCCA